TCTTCTCATTGACATTCCTGGAAGGGGTCAGTTCTCCCGCCTGTGCCAAATACAATCCCCCAAACAGTGGCTTTAAATATATCAGATTTGAAACTTTAATATGGCAGCAAACAACTATTTGCTAATATATAAAGATATAGTTGATGGCGTCCTGAGCAGAGAATGACATTTCATTTTGTTTGCCTGTGTTGTTATCTCAACCTGTCTGTGCTTTGTTTACAAAGATAATCTGATCCATGTGCAACTGTGCAAAATGTAATTTTAACCAAATCAGTGTTGTTGATTACTGTAACAGCAGAAAGACAAACAGAATGTTTTTGTGAGTTTTATTTTGTTTCTGTCCACTTAGAATGAAGCTTGAAATGAAATGTGAGGTAAAATTATCGTTTTTGTCCATAGAGTCTGGTGGTAAGTAATAGATATTAAGGCTGTTTGTGGTTAAACAAAAGGTCTTTCTCTGTAGAGATCCTTTTCATAATGTTGTCAGAAACTTGGAATTACAATCTGAGCCTGTTAGTGGCAAAAAAAGAACTTCCAATGGTTAACTTTAACCTCTGTGAGTTAAGAGTATATTTCAACCAAACCAGCATTAGAGATTGTTGGAAGGATTAATAAAGTTGGTTTTGGTGAGTATAATTTTGTTTCTGTCCCATTGCTTTGGTCTGAGATGCTGGTGCTCTAGCACAACAACAGTTGGCAATGAATTTTGCATACATAACCTTAAAGCTTAAATCTAATACACTACATGCAATGTAAAATGTAAAAAGAAAATGAAATAACTAAAGCACCGTCACCTGATAAGACTCTATAGTATGTGTCATAAACATTACATTGAAACATTCATTCTCTCTCTGCTTCCACATGAAGCTCAGCAACAGGTACATAAAGTGACTCAGTGAAGTAGCTTGTCACAACAATACAATAAAATGGAAATATTCATGTATAAATCATTTGTGTTTTTTAGTATTTATTGTCCACATAAAATATGTAAAATTGGAACATATAAAGCAGGCCAACCTCATAGGTTATCGAGTAGGTAGTAACTGCCATACTAAGATATTTTACCTTGAGTTAATTTTTTTTCAAGGTTATTTTGCTTCATCTTCGAGAAAATGTCCGCTGTCGTCACCACAGCTTCTTCTTCCTCATAAACCTGCACCAGTTTATCCACAGTTTGTTCTCTGGAAGCTTTCTCCAGCTCGGCCTTTGGGAAGAGTCGGCATCCATCTCTTCTAATAAGGCCCAAGTGCCACTGAAACGTGTTCAGCTGTTTCTCATCCAGCTCATCCAGGTAATCTTTCAGGAACTGTTCGATTTGCTCAGGTGTAGCCATGTTTGACTTTTAGTTTACAGGATGTCAAACTATCAGTTGAGGAACTTCTCTACAGCTGTGAATTGACTGTAAAAAGACAAAAAACAAGAAGTTAGAATTAATTCATACAACAAAGTAGAAGACATTTACACGTAAAAGGCCTCAAAATAGTTGATTTAACTTAGACTGGCACTCTATTCTAAACCAAATATTTTCTTTTGGGTGGAAAAACTATTTGAAAATAATATTTAGTTAATCACCAATTTCTTTTAAATGTAAGTTTTATTTACTGTCCTATAAAAAGTATCCTGGTTGGTTTTGCCTGTAAAATAAGAGTCTTTACATATTTATCTAACTAAAGACAGAAACATAAAGAATACAAACATCCATCTCAATAAAAGGTCAGTACTTCACTGACCACTTTACTGGTCACGTTTATTTCAATTTCAGTGTTCACACAGCTCTGTCACTGTCTGCATCTACCATTATAAACGATGGAATTACTCCCAATAACAACACAGTGCATATAAAGCACCAGTGCAGTGAAAAACTCTTCTGTCTACATGCTGCAGTTCTGCCTGTTAACCAGATGGTGGAAGCAAAGTCCAACTTGTGTTGTGCTGGTTTGGCTCTGTGCACATACTGACTTTGACTGATATGAGATTTTAAGGCAGATATTCATACCAATGTTAGCAAAGCCTTTTTTCCTCCAAATAATGAAAAATAAGAAAGTAAACAAGGGTCTCTACGGTGCTTCTAGTGAATTAGATTATACAGCAAATTCTGTATGTAACATTAAAGGAAAGGCTCACAGTTTTTCAGATCTGTCTTAGTCAATGTTGAAACAGGTTTTGCTTCATTCCTCCTGTTCGTACTGAAACTGTTCACAGTACTACTGAAATATTTTTACACAAAACAAGGACTGTAGATGCCGTCTCCGTCACTTACATTTGAAGTGCACTAAAAAGAGATCTTTTAATGGCCTGTATGAATAAAAGGAATAATTACAGCAACCGAAATCTGTGTCAGTGTTCATACAGGCACCTCACTATGGTTGTGAAATTGTAAACCTACCCTTTAATCCACTGGTTAAATAAAAACATTAATGTAAAAACATATACCGTCAAAATACTACAACATTTTATATGAAAATACTTAAACTATAGGATCACTAAAATGTAATTTTAAACAAGTTTTGCATTTCCTTTGATATTTTGTCAATATTAGCCTGTTGGGTTGTCATGTTCATGCACGTATATACATGATTAGTTACGAGCTAAAATGTGATGGCAAGATAGTGAGTGAAGGTAAAATCAATAGTTCGAAAACGCTGCAATCAGAGCCCCAAATGGAAACTATTAGGATATAATAGAGTATCATTTTCCACCAAATTAGCTCTGGTTCTGAACAGGTTGTGTTCAGAATTCAACAACAGTCAACAACAATAAATAATCTTCTTATTGGGAATAAACCTGGCTCCTGTGTGAACTGTCGGTAGCTGAATATTTTGGCCTATGCTACTGTACTGTAACGTCAGCCGTGATGGTGATACTTGAAGAGGTGTAAAAAGTTTGAGAAGCACTGTTTTAATCAAAGTGCTTCAAAACTGTGTATGAAGTTAGTGACCCTCTTTCTACCCTTGTGACTAAAATCTGTAAAGCCCATATGACAGATTTTAAAAGAAAAATGGATATATGTATAAAGTTATATGAGTATGTGTTAGTATCTCCTAAGTATCCCATATTGTATTTAAACACTTAACTTCCTTTTAAGTGTTGCTTCCTGCCATCTAAAGCATATATAATTTAACAGATTGTTGAAACCACTGACTCACCTGTACAAGTTGTTCCCAACATAGATATATATGTTTTATAGATACTTATATAGGTTGTCTCCAGATTTAAAAAAACTGGTCTTTACCCACAGGAAAACTAACTCTGACACTATTTCTAGTCTGTTAACTTCTGCCAGTAAACTCTAGTTTATCCAGTGAGCTGCAACTGAATACAAATCTAAACAGAACACCATACAAGAAAGGTTCAACTCCCACGTAAAGCAACAGAGTAAGACATGATAAGATAATTAGCTACATACCCTAAAAAGTCTATCTATATTTAAACGAAATGTAATTATTCATTAGCACAATTGTCTGCTCACCTTTGCTCTTTGAAAATATATTCACACATATTAGCTAAAAGGAGTTGCTCTTCTTTCCTTTCTCATTCCCTGAACAGGTGCTTTTAATGATAAAGTTGTTTGACTTGTTTGCCAGACTGAGACTGCCTAAAAGAAACAGGTGCTTTTGTTCAGCGCTGCAACTCGAATGACCTCTAGTGGAGAGAGCTGAGCACTGCATTACATTACCTCAACACTTGTCCCAGTCAAGTGCTAATTATGATAACAGCAATACTGAAGTGAAGAAGAGGAAAAAAGCCCTGTGACCCCATACTTCCTTAAAAGCCCTACATAATTAGATTAACTGTAATTTAAAGATACACTAAAAAGTTGACCGTTATCAACATGATTCAGCTGCTTTATTATGTGATCTTGAGGATCTGGTCTTGAAGATTATTAAAGCTGATATTGTGTATATTTATTACCTTCAGCCATGGAGAATGTATCATTTTCTTGTGGACAAACACAGTTAACATTCAGTGTCACTAGCCAGAGGGCAGTATTTGTATCCTTCATCCATGTGTTCGTCTGAACAGGCTTTTTTTTTTTTACATTTTTACATTTTTCTACTGCCTCAATTAACCTAATTAAAAGCAAGTTTTTCTTTTAAAATACACCCAGCAGAGGACACATTGTTGTCTTATAGAATACATAAAAGTCATTTTATTGATATTTATTTTCTCGTCTTTATTTAGTATAGAAGTAATCCGAAGGAAACATAACGTAAAGGTACATTACTTTAATATAGTGATAGTTGGATTAGGTTACTAACTAACTAGTAACTGTATCTGATTACATTTTTAAAGTGACCCTCCCAACCCTGGTTAAGGCTGATAGATATAGTCCACACGGAGTAAACAGGGGCCACCCTTAGAGCCGCCGGAGCATGACAGGGAGAGATGTTAGATGTCCAATAGTAGATAAGTATATACGTCTAAATTCCCCTGAGTAAAAAATAAAAGCATTAAGAGGAGACTCCAAACTTTGAATGGCTAAACTCTACAATCATCAAGAACAAGAGCTGAGTATGTCTCCTCTGATTTTTGCTGTGATGTTCAAAAACGCAACATTATTTATTTATCTTGGCCGAGCTGAGCTGGCGTTTCTTCAGCAACACCCGGCTTTTCACCCTAACAGCTACGCACACTGACGCCCGAGTGATAACCAACACCGCTGTGACCATCGACGACTGACTTCCTGAGCAGTTGGGGGGGGTCAGCAGCTTTACTGCTCCTGGGCGTCACGACGACGGTATCTGTTGAAGGAGGAAAGAGCGTTATTCATTCACTTCCCCCCCCAGTCAGATTATTTCTCCAAAGCAGTGGAGAACAGGAGCGTCATGACTCAGCTCTTGGCCCCGTCCACTCTCTCGGTTGTGATGATGTAACAGATGGCATATTCACCCTCATTAGTCACAACAAAAGGAAAAGTCATGCCTAAACGTATCGCAGCTACTGGAGCTCTGTTTGCACAATTAGGCTATTCTGGATACAAACACAGCTTCGGTGAAGACATGGGAGTCTGCTACAAACAGAACTGGGATATTTTGGCTCTGCAGCTCATACCACAGGACTGTTTTAGGTCCAAACAGGCGTGTAAGCCTGCATGGGTGCATGGCTGCAATGCCTCAGCTGGCCCAGAAAGACAAGCGACATGAAGCTTGGATAGATCATCACTCAGTTTCCACTGTTTGACCGTGATGATCTGGTCATCAGCTTTCCCAATTAGCGTTTTAACACCGTCGCTGTCTTGCCAAAAAGTGCTGAGTGTGTTTTTTCCCAGCAGGGTGGCATGGGAACACCAAGCGCTGTCAACATAGATAGCTGCCATCTTCATGTGTCTTTTCCGGCTGCAAAATCAAGGGGGGAAGTACAATAAGAACATAAAGGGCTAAACACACACATTAAGTGCACAGTGCAGAAGGTTGCTGACGAGGACGATGGCAATAGTCTGACTGTATTAATACTACATTAATAATACTACAATATGGAGAATGGCATGCAGACTTTATTTCTTTTTCTTTCTTTCTTTCTTTCTTTCTTTCTTTCTTTCTCCTCTCTGAATGCCAATTTCAGCTGAAACCATCCCACTTTCTCTTCTCCTGGCCTCCCGTGCTCTCACTCCTCTTCCCTCCTCTGCTCCTCTGTCTCTCATCAAGCGGGCAAGGCGTAGTGTGTGGTTGGTGTGAGATAACAAAGGCTGAGGAGTTCACCATTATATAACTTCTGTGGAGGCTGAGGAGGTGGAGGAAGAGGAGGAGAGGCAGCAGGGTTAGCACGTAGGAAAAGGAGGGCAGGAGAGGGCTAGTAGCCTACGTTGCAGTGCTCATTCGTCTTCCACATAACACACACACACATGCTGGCCTCCTTTTTCCTGCTCTCCATCATGGATTCAGCTGCACTTGCAGATACGGCCTCATAATATTTGAACTTTCTCTCTGTGTTTCAGGCTTTGTGTTCCCACGCTGACAACCACACATAAAGATTTTCAAGCGATATCACCATTTTGCGTTCTTTTCTCTCGGCCACAACGAGCCAGACTGCTGAGCAGGCAGCCACACACACACACAGACACACACACACACACAGGGCCTCTAACTCTCAAGCTCTACGGTTCCCTCCAGCCCCACCCGCCTGTCCTCCGATGGCCTCCCACTCATGCCACATTAAACATTTAGTGAGGCACTCTGGATCTGTGTGACACCATCTTTTAGCGCCGCCAAGCTAACAGCCCTCACACTGTGGAAAAAACATAGGTGCATACTCGTCGGTGGAAACGTGATACAGCAGCCACACTATTCCCTCTACCCATCCCTGTCTCACTTATGCACACACACACCCGTACGCTCGCCAACGCAAAGGCAAAGGCAAAAAAAAATCAGTGGTACAGAAAAAGGGGGCCTAGTGTGTCGAGAGCAAGACCTGCATTAATCAATATTGATCCCTGGAGTGTGTGTACGTATGTGCATATGCAATTGTGTACCGGTGTGTGACAGTTTGCCTCTCTGCTGCAGTGAGGTGTGACCCAGGGTTGGGTGCATCCCAACCGGTGCAGTGAAATGCTGCTGTGATGCTCCCCTGCAATATATTTTGAAGATATGAGAGGAGACAGGAACTGGATCTTCTTCTTTTTTTTCAATCTATCTTATGCATCGTTGCAGGATTGTGTACAGTGCAGAGTATACGCAGGTATACGGAGTGGTTTTTCAGTCAGCAATGGGTACACACACTTCTAAATCCCCCTCCTCTGATGTATGGGAGTGTTCTGCGAGCTGGGTTTTTATTCCCCCCAGGAAGAGAGGAAAGCATGATATGGTTGTTCAATTTTTATGAGCGGTTGGAGCAAGGAATCGGGAATACTTTGCATGAATAATATGCATGAATAATATGCATAGTTAAGGTAGTTTTCTCACCCGTCTGTGGAGCCAGTATTGATTGCGAAACGCTAATTTCATAATATTGGCAGCAGAAGTTAAGTGACAATGTGCACACACTCATTTAATAACACTTTTTGGGTGAGCAAAATATGCAAAAAGTAGTCTTAACAAAAGTAGATCCACTTCTCCAGGTACCACTGCAACACTGCTCATGTACCTTCCAACAATGTGTCACCCAATTATAATCTGCAGTCTCTCCCTCTCCACTCTTTTAAAAAAAAAAAA